GCACAGAGCAGAACCTGATGATCATTTGGGAATGGGAGAATGAAGAAATCTAGAGAATGGTCTTTAAAGAGAAGACTAAAATAGTCTGATGAACTAGTTATCTTTGTAGGCTTCATCTTTGATTCAGACTACTGGCATTTGCATTCAGTATCAGTGCCAACCAACAACTCTTGTTTAGTATCTGTAGGTACCTTCCCAGTTTGCTGTCCACAAAAAACAAAATGAAAACCTCGTATCTTTATAGAGCTTGTTTATTCTGTCCTCTGCAAGTGCCACCTTCCCTGTGGCTGCCTGCTGAGCTACTGCTCTCTGGAAAAAAACATTTTGGAGCTGTGTAATTTATTTTCAAGAATGTCCATCTCCTGTATTTGCTGCTGCCGTAGGCTAATTTGGAAAGGTTTTTTTTCTTGCAGAAGTCTGAGCAATGAGACTCTTGCATGAGTCTTCTCTCATGAAGCAGTCTGTATTCTGAGAGTACAAATCAGCAGCATGCTCAATTATTTCATAATCTTTCCTCTCTCTCTTTTTCCCTACTGCCAGCGTGGAGGGTTCTTCTATGAACCTCTGTTAACAAAGCCCTGTTTGATTGCAGCAGTCCAAACTGTCAAGCCACGTTGTACACGTGATTTTAATACACAGCATGAACATAGTGTTTCCCAAGGGAGTACTATAGCCTTTTGTTTGATCCCTTGCCATTATTTCTTGGTACAAAATGACCAGTGAGTAAATGAATGCTGCGTTTCTCACAGTGCATTGTGATGAGAGCAAGAACAATGTGTGTTCTCTAGTACAGCTTTGTCACTTTGCAAGCATTTTTGGTAATGATTTATCTACCTTTTCAAGCTCTTAAAACCTCTCAGAAAAATCCTCTTGAAAATTACTTGGCAGCTGAAGCTGCTTTTCTGGCTGCTTCAATCGGGCAGTGCAGTTGCCAGGACTATTGTTTCTAGAGCAGTGCCCAGGGTAACTTCTTACAGATTATCAGCCATGACCATCAGGTGGTAAGAGAAGACTTCCCTTTGGAAGGGAAAAAATTTTTAGGAATATTTAAGAACAGCTCTATATTCCTTTTGATCATTGTGAATGATCAGCTTTTAAAATCTTCAATGTGAAGGACAAGGTGATTTATCATTGAAATTCCTTCCTGCTCCTCTGCCATCCACCTTTGCTGTCCTCTCCCTCACTTCCCTCACCTCCCTTTCTCCTTTTTGATTGTGTCAGCACCTCTCAATAATGGGAAGAGATAGCAGGAACTGGAAAGGAGAGTGATAACTTTCTGATATTGGTGCTGATAATCTCTGTAGTTTGTTCTTCTACACTGAGACACTCTCCTGACAGCACCTGAGAACTGTGAATGCAGCTTCTATCTCCAGCCTCCTCTGATTCTTTTCATTACAAATTTAGTCAGGTTCCTTACCTTATTTAATGTATTGCCATGCTTAGCTGGGACACATTATTCAAAGGATTTCTCCATTTGTTTTGTTAACTTTTGTTAACTTTGTTAACCATGCCCTTTTCAGGGAGCTTTCTCAGGAGAATCTGCTCAAACAGGAGGTGAAGACTTGAACAAACCTCCTGCTCCTCTCCTTTGAAGTCCTTGAACATTTCTGAGTTTGATTTTGAAAAGAGCTAAGGAAAATACCACTAAAAAGGGAGGAGGGGGACTGTGGCAAAGAAAAAGAAAAAAGAAATTTTGTGGTGCTTGGGCATATGTACTTTGCACATATGAAGTATGTTTTACTATCACACTCCACGTGGTGGTAAATCTTTGATTTTAAATGGTCATGTAAGAATTTCCATAAGTTCTGGAAGCTGATTCTGAGTACTAGCAAAGTTCATGAGGCTGGTGGTACAAATTGGATGTGGATGACAAGTGTCAGAGTATGTTTGGGCTTCTCATAGGATGATGTGTCACTTCAAGCATTCAAGTGATGTTGTGTTTTTTGTTCTTCATCTTACAGTAGTGAGCAGTCCACTAAAGCCAAAACACAAAAGGAATTGCTGAAAACACTGCAGGAGCTGAAAGCTCACCTTCCTTCTGAGAAGAGAGTCAAAGGCAAATCCAGTGTCCTAACAACGTTGAAATATGCCCTTAAAAGCATTAAACAAGTTAAAGGTAATAAAGTGTGATTCTGCCTAGATAATGCCAACCTGGCTAAAGTGAAACTTTCAAAATAGGAATTTAAATAAACATAGCTCTACACAGAGAACTGTATTATGGATGACAACCTTTCTAACCAGATATTTTCATGTTATTCTCATTTGTTGGCTTTGTTAATTTGTTCCTTTGGGAGCTGAAGCAGCTCTCTAGAGGCTTAATATTTTACTGCTGTTTGGTTGAGTTAGAAAATTGATTTGAAAACAATTCTACAGTTTCGTACTGTTTGAGCTGTCAGGCTAAAATATGTGACCATTCATATATGGGTAGATCAAGATGTGTACATTTGTATGAGTTACTGATGAGGAAGCCCTACCAGGGAAAATGATGTACTTGGAATAGTGCCTACATTTCCCAACTTCTGCATTTATGCCCAAAGATATTTTTGCCATTTACTACTCCTGGGCTAGGTGTTTATTGATAATCTTATATTATTAATAAATGAATAGTAATAATATATTATTACTATTTTATTACTATGTATCATTATATTATTATATAATTACTATATTATTACTATCCATCTATTATTAATATATTAATATTATTATTAATATTTATAATTTTTGTTGTTGTTGTTCTCATGTAGCCAATGAGGAATATTACCAGCTGTTGATGATTAATGAATCCCAGCCTGCTGGTCTCAATGTATCATCTTACACAGTGGAAGAAGTGGAGACTATAACCTCAGAATACATTGTGAAAAATGCGGTGAGTACGGTGCCCTGAGTCTCAGTGTGTATTGAAAATGCTTCTTGGAGCTGGAATTTTCAGTCATGCCTTCTTCTCACAAGGAGAGGGTTGATAGCTAGGCCAGAAAGCTGAAGAAACTGCCTTTAGCCTTCCAGGGGATGTTGAGAAACTCTGAACCTTTTCAGACTTGGCAAACTTGTTTCTGTTGGTTAAGTGGGAAATAAACAGGCTTCAGCTCCCTGATCCTCTGAATTGTACCTTGTGCCTGGAGCTGGTGCTGGGACACCTCTCTATGTGCATGTGATACAGAGCACTGCAGAAGTTGGAGAGCTAACTCTTTCCAAATCTTAGTCGAGGCACATGATGAATCACTTCAGCTGATTCTTAAGTTATTTGATGTTTCACCAGTTCTTTCTCTTAGTGTGTCTGAAGAGTGACAAAAGTATTGGAATCACTGTGTCCTTTCCTGTGGGATTTGTCTGGTCTGTGACTGTGGGGTGCAGTTATGCTGTGTTCCCACAGAGATGAGAACAGCTAGGACCATCACTGTAGTTCTAGCAGTGAAATGATAATCTGAATGATTTTTAAAATTATATTTATTTCCATATTACTAGTATTTTATATGTTATGGAGTCTTCAAAAAATAATGGCATCTAGATATATTAGTCTACTTTCTACTACTTTTTTGAACTGCAACCTGTGTTTGAATATATGAAGTTTGAATTCTCTAAAACAAGAGTATGATGGGGGATGTTCCTTAGGTGGAAGTAGGTGAGTTTTGTTGAATCTGTGAATAGTAAAGGCTGCCCACAAGGTGAAATAAATAGGAAATGTAGAGTACAACTGAGAAATTCAGCCAAATGTTATAAACATTGTTCAGTGAATGTGAATATGCATTTGTGAAAGCAGCGTTCTGCTGGTAGCTCTTCAGTTCCTGTGCAGTGTTTGTGAATGGAGAACTAAAGGTTGTGGTGCAGGGAGCTCCTGTATGGCAGGAAGAGAAACAATACAAGTGTGTGGCACTTCTTCCCACCTGTGTACTCACTGTTTTTTACCAAGTGGTTTAGAGCCCTAACACAAACAGCCTTTCAAAAATTTCATAAAAGTACATCATGTCTGTAACAAGCACAGGGAAAATGTGAAGTTATATATTTGGAAGGTCATTAATTTCTAATTTGTAAATTCATTCTGCATCAAAGAACTGTGGACAATGATATCTAGGGCTTATGATCCAGTAAATAGTAGTGTATTATTCTCAATAATCATGGAAAAAATATTCTGTGTCTACTTGATGAGCAGATTCATTGTGTTGAACGACATCTGTAATAAAATTAAATTTTCTTAATTCTCATTTTGAACTTACTTATGTTTTTGTATCTTAAATTCTTGTTTTTCTCAGAAATAAATGCTGCACTGAAGAATGTTCCAAACTGTCTAAATAAATTGAGACTTTTTTTTTTTTTAGGATATGTTTGCTGTAGCTGTGTCTTTGATAACTGGGAAAATTCTGTACATCTCTGATCAAGCTTCTTCTATTCTCCGCTGCAAGAGGGGTTATTTTAAAAATGCCAAATTTGTGGAGTTCTTGGCACCTCAGGATGTCAGTGTGTTCTATACTTCCACCACCCCATACAGATTACCATCATGGAACATTTGCAATAGAGCTGGTGAGTGGTCTCAACAGAAGATATTTCTCTGACCTGCTTTCAGTCATGCAAATTCAAGTACTTGCACTGATTTTGAATCTCCTTCCATCCTTCCCCATCACCTTTTGAGGGTGTAGCACAGGGGCATTATTAGAAGACCTCTGAACAGCACTAGGTGTACAAATTTGTTATATAAATTAGCAGCATTTGTCTGTTGGTTTAAAGTCTTCTCAATGTCATCATTTATCAGTTCTTATTCCCCTTTCAGCCAGATGATGAATGAAAACAAAGTAGGAATTCATGTTGAATGGTGAATTTAGTTTCCACTTGTACTAGCAGTCAAATGAAAACAGTTTTCCTTCACATTTTCTCTTCCTCAAGTATAAAGGGGACAATGCTCTGTCTCCTTCCTTTTAAAATGGTTATGATTTGAATACTGGACACATTGATTATGGTGTAGAGAAATGTGTTTCAGCTGTCATCACTGTGCACTCACCAAGTGTAATCACAGCTCTCTTCTTCTAGCCTTAGAAAAATTATATTGGGCATAATTAATGGTGAAGAATCAGATGTCTCAGGGCACTTGATATTTGTGGTAGGACTGTTTTACTCATGTACCTACAGCTGTTAGTCATTGAGAAATATCTATCAACTATTTCAACTAAGGACCTGGAATTCAAGGTCTGCTATAAATGTTTGAAATTCCAATCTGTTGCATACTAAACCTGTGAAGTAAAGCCAGGGTGTGAACCAATTCAATCTGAAAAAACAATTAGCAATAAACACGTGCTAAGCAATGCATACATAAAGCAGGTCAAAAGGGACCTTGTGAGGTCTCTAGTGCAACCTCTGGCTCAAAACAGGGTCAGTGGTAAATGATCTATAATCCTGATTACTCAGTTATGTGGGAGTTTTCTTGGTTTTGCTTTCTTGAAACATTTTCTGTAGCTTTATTATCTTTGTGTATAGATTCAGATTTTAAAAATTCAACAAGTAGAAATGTGCACACTCTGGCATGTATCAGCTGCCAAACAGTATAATATCCAAAATATTGTGCACTGGAGGCCTTTGAAATGCCAGAGTGTGGGGACTCTGGAAAAGGAGGGAAATAAGCTTAAAACATGAGAAGTCTTCAGGAAAAAGAGTCAAGAGGGGTGCTAAGAAGTGTATTTGGTGTTGGAGCTGTCCTAGTGTCTTTATAGGAAAAGGGTCAAATTTTGGGGTCCTAGGTAGTCAAGCATTTTTGGTCATTAAGTGGTGTGAAAGAGTTGGTAAGAGTAAGCAGATAAAACTGGAGAGTTGTTTAGATATGTTTAGGAAAAAGACTTGATAAACAAGGATCTGTGAGTGACACACCAGCCTCAGAATCTGAGTGATATTCAGATTTAGTTGCTTATGATGTACATTGTTTAACCAATACACGTGGATACTTCAGGGAACGTAAGCTTTTAAAAAAAAGATTTCAACATTTATTATCTAAGGAAAACTTCTTGTGCTAAATATCATCTTCTAGTAATTTGTAACTTGTTATGAAATATGCTTAATATTTCTAGAGTCTTCCACCCAGGATTGCATGGAAGAGAAATCTTTTTTTTGTCGCATCAGGTAAGACAATATTGTAAAGCTTAGTGCTGTGTTATGAAACCAAGCATTACATAAGTATTTGACTTTTATAAGAACCATGTGGTACCTACATTTCATGCTTTTTCATAATGTGATCATAAAGCAGAACAGATGCACATCCTTGAGTTGATTAATTGTAGCAGCTACAGAGAAAACCAAACTGATTTTGGGAGGTTCCATCTTGGAGTTAATCCCTGTGAATATTGGCCTTTGTGCCATAAAGGAAGGTGGTACAGCATCTCCTCCTGCTCTGGAAAGCTTTTGGTTCATGTCAATGGAACTGTTCAGCACCTTCCTACATTCTAGAAAACCAGTGTCTTAAATTTATCTCATGTATCCCCTAGGAAGATACTCAAGGATAACTTATCTATTTTGCAGTTAATAGAGAACACAGTTCTTTGGTTTGCTTTTCTTCCTTCTCCTGCCCACAATCACTCCTCTGTTTTTTTGTTGGTTTTTTGTTTGTTTGGTTTTTATTTTTATTTTTTTGTTTAGGAAAAGCTGGCACCTTAGTTCATGCTCTTTCTTGTGCAATTTGATTTCTTGATGCTTACTGCCTCTCTAGCAGCATTTCTGAAACAAAAATAGTAGATCCAATTATTTAATCAGTTCTCTAGTAAATAAATACTTACTATTGAGGTATGAATAAACTTGAAATGAATTGGAGGAAATGCAGTGCTCCAGAGTGTTGGATTGGATGTACTCTACAAGTACTGCTGGTGTTACTGGAGATTTTTTTGTCCAACTAACACTGGTTTCAAAAGCATTACTTCCATTAAGCTCCGCTGTTATATAAATTTATTACAGCTGATTCTTCTTTTGTCACTGTGTAAATGGTTATTGTTTTCATTACTGTGTTTGCATTCTGGTTAAGCAAACACCTGTTATTAAATATTGAGTCTTCACTCCTTCTAAACTGGATTAAATATTGATTAAAAGACGATCTTCGTGTTAACTGAGAGGATATATCAGTCTTCATAAAAAAGCTCTGTAAATTCATCCCTCTAAAGGACAACAAAGTAACTTAATCTATTGTGTGAGCTGGGTTTTTCTATCAAACTGCCATGTAATGCTGTTGTGGATATTTGTTTCAGACAGTGGAGAGAGCAGCACAGTCTTTAAGGAAGTTGGTGTGCAAAGGATACCACCAGAATTAGATTCTCTTCCACCAAAATAAAAATCAAGCTAAGATCTTGGGTGCTATTTTAGTGAATAAACTATTTTAGTTTATTACTTCATTTTAGTGAATAAACTATTTTAGTGAACTGCTAACGTTCAGTTCTTGTGTCATGACAGAAATACAATGGATAAATTAAACTTTTATTTAGCGTAATCTGTTGAAATAATTAACTCTCTTTAATTATTAGTGCGGGAAAGGAGCGTGAAAATGAGATTTGCTATCACCCATTCCGGATGACTCCTTACCTTATCAAAGTGCAAGATCCAGAAATAGCAGAAGACCAGCTTTGCTGTGTGTTGCTTGCAGAAAAAGTCCATTCTGGCTATGAAGGTAATCCTTGAGTGCACAAAGTCTAGTTTGCTTTCCTAAAAGTAAAAACTGTTCAAGCTTTATTAAAGAGAAAGAGAATTGTTTCTGTTCTCTGCCCTTGCTGCTTTCCTATATGCTCTTGGCCAGAATTTTGGACTGGCAGCTTTTGAAGTATTATATATGCAAAACCCTCAGTTGCTAATATGCTTTTATTTTTCTCTCAGCACCCAGAATTCCTCCTGACAAAAGGATTTTTACAACTACGCACACGCCAACCTGTTTGTTCCAGGATGTAGATGAAAGGTAACTTACAAAAATTGCTTTTCAATTTACTGATGAGCAATCTCTCCAGTATCTTTGCAGGATTTAAGGTGTCTATATGGGGTTAAAAAATTATGCAACTACTGAAGAGTGTTTAACCTAAGAAAAGTACATCCCCCCATTTTCACTAAGCATGAGAACACATTACACTGGTATTTAAGTGTATTTAAGTGCCTGCTAGCAACTTGTTCTTCCACTTTCCTTCCCTCTTGAGAAATTCTGGACATAAATTCAGTCAATGAACCCATGCTCAGAAGAATTCCTGTGCTGCCAGTTATTACCTTTATGAGACGTCTAGGTGTGGGTTTTTGGTTTCTTAACCAAATTCAGCAAATATGCTGCTGTCTCTCTCTGCTGGCCCAGGTACAACTAGAGGTACAGCTTTTCAATAAAACATTAGATCTTTAAAAAAAAAGATATAATGGTTCAAATTGCACTGGCTGAAGACTTCACATTGCTTTTACAGTCATGAAAACTGCTTAGAGTAAGTATTTACATTCTAAATTAGGAACAAAAATGCCACCTGTGATCTTAATGTATATACCAAGACCTAAGAACTGAGGTCTAAACCAAAGTTTCACAGAATCATTTAGGTTGCAGAAGATCATCAAGTCCACCACAAAACCCTGTCCCTAAATTCCTCATGTGCACATTTTTAAACACCTCTGGGGATGGTAACTGCACCCCTTCTGTGGGCAGCCTGTTCCTTGACAACCTGTTCCATGAAGAATAGCCAGTCTAAAGCTGCCCTGGGGTAACTTGAGGCCATTTCCTCTTGTCCAGTTACTTATTCCCTGGGAGAATAAAATCTCTCACCCAATTTGCTGTTGTCTGCAAACTGATGGAGGGTGCTCTCCATCCTCTTGGCCAGATTATGGCTAAAAACATTAAATACAACTGGACCAAATCTTGAGCCCTGTGGACTTGACTTGATAGAACAATTCACTTATTCCTAAATTGAAAACGCTACCTTTCCTCTTCTTTTTCTGCTCTTCTTGGTATTTTCTTTCTGGTGGTTTCTGATATTTGGGTTGTATATGGAACTTAATTTGGATTATTTTTTTTTTCTCCTTAGCAGAAACTAAGTTAGCTACAGTGGTAACATCTGACTGCTGAAATTCTCCCATTTGTTTTTTAAGCATTCTAAGAATGCTAAAATTTTCTTTTTAGGTTGAGATATGGGGGTAGATGTGTTCAGAGAGAGTAGGAGTATAATGGACAATTTTTAGATTCTGTGGTGTTTTTTTGGATGGAAATATTGCTTCTGAAAAAATACATAATTCTTAGCAAAATGCTTAAAGGCAGCAGAAAAGAGGGATTGGGGAAAGGAGGTTATTGAGATGTTTGACTAAGATGGAGTCCAGGTAAAAAGAATATTGTTTGACTTCTGATCCAGTTTTATCTGTGGAGGGGCAGATGTTGTGGCTGAGTTCCTGTAGGATAGACAGTGTAATGCTGACAAACAGTCTTTCCATGCTGTGTTTCATACAGTGTCTCTAAACAGCTCAAGTTGATAAAAGAACTACTTAAATCCAGTGTAGTTCTGTCTTCTTCATAGATTTTTCTCTCTCTTTCATTTCCACACATACTTCAAGGCAGCTACAGAATGGGTTTATCTTTACAAAGAGGCTGAGGGCACAATGCAAAGCTTCTGTTCCTCTGTGCATCCACAGCTCAGTGATCTCCAGCAGTCATTTAACAGAAACTGCAGAATTAGTGAGTGCACAGCCTTGCCCTTATTCATGGGCTTGAGCAAGTCCAGAAAATCCTTCCCTGTGGATCCTATAGCAGCTTCTTTCCTGTTGGTCTGATGTTACCACTTGTTCTCAAATACCATTTTCTAACACTTCCAATGAGGGTTGATTGCATCTTGGTCTGAAATTAGGACTTTGCATCATTCATTTCTGTTCTTGTGATAGTGTAGTTGAGTTTGCTTTCAATTATTCAACTCCTGAGAGCATTGGGAGCCCAATAAATGTTTACCAAGACATGCATATGCAGTTGATTACTCTTAAGCTCTCCAGGGTTTGGTGGAATACACAAAGCAAGAGATTCTTAAAGAAAGCAGTCTTAATATTTAAAAATGTGCAACTGAGCACCTGCTGTTGACTGAGCATTGTTCATAACATAACCCTGAAACTGTTGCTCGACTTGCATGAAATAAAGTTAATTTCTGTAATCAGTACATGTTCATGTATTGGAAAAATGCATATTTGTCTGAACTCTGCAGGTGGATCTCTGCATAGAGTATATTAAGTAAAAATAAATATTTTCTTGAAATTAAATAGATCAGTCCTATTTGTCATAATATATTTGATACTTCATGCATGTAATGGGTGCAAGTAGTTCACAGTGGAGTGATCTTTGTAAATTAAAGTAGTTTTGTATGTAACTTACAATAGTAATATAAAGAGACTTATTCATATTTTTTTGACACTTTAAATGTCATTCTATGAAACACAAACTAAACTTGGCAGGATCTCCTCATCAGCCATTCTTATACCACACGTGTATTTGCACTCATAAAATTAATTTATTAACCTAACCTCTGAATTTTTATGAGTTACTCATTATGAGGAAGCATAATGATGCCAAGACATCATTCTCAAATAGAGCATTAGATGAGCACAGAAGGGCTGGTTGGAAGGGGCTGCTGGGGTCTTGGTTCCATCCTTTTGCTTGGAATGAAACTTTGCCCAGTCCTGGCCAAGGTCAGCTTGTCTCAATAATGCTGAAAAACCTTCAGGGGCAGAGATGACACAATCTCTATGGGAGGCCTCCTATGTTGCACTGCTCTGTTAAAAAACCTTTTCCTAACATCCAGCATCAGCTTTCTAGACTCCAGTCTGGGATCTTTGCCTGCAGTTTTATTGTCTGGCACCATCAAGAAAATTTTAACTCCATTTTCGTAACTCCTCTTTCCAGCAGTGTGGGAAGTTCCTGGATCATCTTTTAGCTTCCTTTTCATCAGAGCAGGCAAGGCCAGCTCAGTCTCACATTGATTCTAGATCCCTGACTTTCATAAAGCAGGTGGCAAAGAACAGGAATAGTGCTGAACAAATCCTTCTTGTGGTGTTATTCGATGAAGGCCTGGCTGAATTGTTTGGAGTTGACTGACATTTTAAAGTCCTCTAGCAGCACAGCTTTTCTCATGTGCTTTGAACTTGGCAGCACTTCTAAATGTCAATGTGTCAAAGTGCTCTGGTTTGGTATGGGTTCCATGCCAGTTTCTGCTCTCTTGCTGTAGTTCATCTACACAAGCTTTTAAGACTCATTATTAAATGAATTACTTTGATAATAAGGCATTAGTTGCTATCCTCTTTCCCCTCTCAGCCTCTTTGCTGGAATGGTATGTTTGATGTTTTGGGGAACTGATGTAATTCCAGTGGGTTGTTGGAAGTGCAGTGTTGAGAGAATTCACTGCACAGTGCTTTGAAGTTCATACCTGACACAGATCCCCTGTCTGGTGCACTGGGGCTGAGTTCTTCATTCAAGTGTATCATACTCAGACATCTCCCAGGCCTTTGGCAGTCAGTGGGGCTGGGGAGAAGATGTGCAGCATTTGGAGCTTTCAAGATGACTTGTTGGCATCTGGCAACTCAAACATCACTGAGTGGTGTTGACTTAGTACATTTTATTTTTCCCCAAAGCACATTTTCAGTGGTTAACCTTCAGGGTAAGGTGCAAAGTGGCATTTGTGAACTTCCACTTAATGCAAATGCTTGAAGTGATCAATAAAAATTACTTTGTCACATAAATTAGTTTTTCACATCACTAGACGTGGTCATGGGTAATGTGCAGGAATTCAGTAGGATTGCTTTTAATTCTCTTGTTAATAAGCTTGCTCCCATGCAGCTCCTCTGAGCTGAACTCTTCACCTGCCTGTGAGAAAGTTGTCTTGAGTGCTGGTCAGCTCCCCCAGTGCTAGTTCAGCTGTGGTAATGCTGTGATCCTTAGCTATGGCTCCCAGCCAAGGGATTGGGGTACTATTTATCTTCATGAGAGTTTTACAAGATTAAACTTTATTAATGCTCTTTGAAAATTAGGGTAAGTATTTATCCTCTAAAGTTGGGCAGCAAAGAAAAGACAGAGCTGCTGTAGCAGACTCCTTGATTTGGTCTAACCACCACCCCACAAACAAAGCCCCCCTTGCCCTAAGTGTATGACTGTTGTTACTTGGCACTGCTTTTTTCACCAAATGTAAACCTAAAAATATTGGTTCTCTTTACAGGAATAACAGCAAAGGAAGATTAAAATGAAAACATTTTAAACATGAAATAAACATTTATTCTACTTGATTTTTATTACGTTTTCTTTGTCTTTCTGTCTCCAGAGCAGTCCCTCTGTTGGGATACCTACCTCAGGATTTAATAGGAACACCAGTCTTGGTGCATCTTCACCCAAATGACAGACCCTTAATGCTGGCAATTCACAAAAAAAGTATGTAGCTTGCTACTGTGGCAGTAATATAATTTTTTTTCTAGGACTTAATAATGAGGACTACAAAGTCCTCAACAAGTAGTAGGAAAAAATTAATTGTGACTTTGATTTTTTTTCCACAAATAAATACTAAATCTTTTACTGCAGAACTTGGTTCTTAATGCAAATGCAAGGAAATGAGAAATCACTCAGTTCTGTACTTTCTGTGAAGCATACATATCTACTAAATAAATTGACTGCAAATTAATATTTCATACATAAAGAAAATTTTCTTGAGAATGATGTGATAGAAGTAGTGTTTTATATTACATGATAGTCTTTCTTATTTCACAGAGAAGAAAATAAGAGCCATTCTGGCAAAGTTTGTAAAGGCTGCTTCTTCAGCCTTCTTTTGCTTGTTGTATTCTAAAGGTGATTTTCTTGACCGTAGTTCAGTAAATTATGAAGATCTGCTTATTCTGGTAGCTCAGTATTTCTAAATGTATCAATGTACCCAGTATTTGTTCCCACAAGTGGCATCTTCTTCCATGAAGAGGAAGCACATTGAATGTCCATTCCCTCCATGAATCCTGAACTGTTATGTAGAACTGTGCAAACATTAATCTGAAATTTCTGTTTGAATCCTTCATTGCAGTTCTTCAGTATGGAGGGCAGCCTTTTGACTACTCACCAATCAGGTTTTGCACTAGGAATGGAGATTATATCACCATGGACACCAGCTGGTCCAGTTTCATCAACCCTTGGAGTCGCAAAGTTTCCTTTATTATTGGAAGACACAAAGTTAGGACGTAAGTAAATATATTTTTGTTTTCCTTTCCCTGAGGTTTACATAGAGATCCTTAAGATGAGGGAACAGAATAAGCATTAGATTCTGTGTAGGATATGTAGGTGGTAAATTGAAGCTGTGGTCTCTGTGGTTGAAACACTTGCATTTACAGTGAGCTGGTGTATGTTTGGTTTGTGCAGGGGTCCCTTAAATGAAGATGTCTTTGCTGCTCCCAACTACACAGAGGACAGAATCCTTCACCCCAGCGTTCAGGAGATCACTGAGCAGATCTATCGGCTCCTACTGCAGGTACAGCAGGGCTTTGCTCTCACCCTCCCCAGTTCCTGCTGAGGAAAGGCAATTTGATTTATCTTGCTGTGATGTCTTGTTTAGCTGCTTCTACTCTACTGGAATTTTTGGCTACAGTCCTGGGAATTCCTTGCACTCATGCTTACCAGACAAGAGTTACTGAAGTATGTTAAAGCTCCAGTTGATATCTTAATAATTTCATGGAGTCATGGAGTCCTCCAGACAAACAAACAAACAAATAAAAGAAGACAAACAAAAAAAAAATTAAAAAATCCCAAAAAACCAAGCAACAAAAAAACCCAGTGTAAAATACAATTTCTTTTCCTGACATGGAATTACTGGTGTCCTGAGGGGTGTGTGTGTGTACATATACATATATTTATTTTTTTTAATGTTGTTTTAACAGCCTGTACACAACAGTGGATCCAGTGGCTATGGAAGTCTGGGTAGCAATGGTTCACATGAGCACTTGATGAGTGTGGCATCCTCCAGTGACAGCACAGGAATCTTTCTTTTACTGTTTAGTAAAGAAAAACCCTTTTGTCTGGGGGAATAAACATTTCTGGTGTAGATGAAGCCTCAGGGTACTGAAGTACCATGATAGACATGAAAGTCAGTGTTAAAAAGAATTTAAACCTGTACAGTGTGTTTGTTTAATCTAATGTCTGTTACCTGTTATATGCTGTGTTTCTTGGAAAACCAGCTGGATATGTGAAAGCAGTTTCTTTTGGGAGGGGAAAGCCTGTAATTACTGTTTTCCCAAATGAAAGTAAGAAGATTAAATGCAGTATACCTGTATAACCAAGGGATAGCTGGACCCTGATCACTTTTAATGTAAAAATGCAGCAGTTATATAGAATGAAATACATTGAATGGAATAAAACAATTTTTCTACTTTGTGCTTAGGACATTACTTTGTGTTTAATTCTGAAAGCAAAAAATTTTCCTTGATAAGTTGTATTGCTTGTAGGCTAATTCTCCCAAATCTGATTTGTGTTTCTGTGCTGAGACTGTGCAGACTCCTGCTCTTGCCAAGGTGCTCACTTTCCTGGCTTTCAGTTCTTAAACACTGCTGGAGTAAGCAGATGAAGTCTCAGGATGGCTTATTTAACAGGGACTTCCCTGTTGAGTAGATGCCTGGCACTCCTTCACTGTTTCCACAGACAGGGAAGGTTTACAGTCCAGTTCTGTAACATCCTGGCACTGCTTAGTTACACTTCTAGTCTTTTTACCACATGATAGCTCTGGAGTTTTTTTCTGAAGTCATTTTTATAATGTGTATTTTATATTTTCCTATCCAAGTTACTCAAACAGATTGAACAAAACACAGAGCAATTGTTTACAAGAAACACACTTCAAATTTCTTCTCTTTCCAATTCCAAATTTTTGCAACTGCACAATAAAATTATAAATATACACATTTCTCCTATAATCAAACTAATTGCAAGATAGAGATTAACAGAGGTTAGATTTAGTCTAACGAGGAATCATTATTTATTATGTTTTATGTCAAAATCTTGAAATAACTGTTCTTCCCAAACTGCTTGCAGGAGGTTTGTCAATACGCCCGTAAGGTCAAGAATAAAGGACAGCGTATTTTCACTGACAGTAAAGCAAAACTGGACTATAAGAAAGAGTCTTTTGCAGGTGAGACATTAGCAGTTCCCAGTCTCTTGTGCTGGTGCCTTGGATAATATGGCAGCAGGAATTTTTTCTAGTTGAGTTCTGATAAATGCATAAAGACAGCGTTTTATCATTTCAAATTATATTGTCCTGTGTCTCTCTGCTGTGCCCAGGAAAATACTGTGTTTGGCTGTATTGAGTCAATAGTGGTGTAACACACTTCAAGGCCTGAAGCTGTTGCCTTGAAATAATTTAAGTGGTTGTCCTGATCCTGAGTGTTTTCTAACCCTAATGATTCTCTTACAACCATGTCTATTCACTTTGGATCCATATGCAGTCTGATTAAACTTTGTAACTCCAAGAACCCATAAGGACAGGAAAATATTTACACAATATTCATTTATTAGTGCATTACAGTGGTTAATTTGTGACCTGCTAAATATGTAGAAATGAAAACCCTTTACTACTGTTGCTCTTAGGGGAGTTTGTAAGGATTTAATGTCTTAATTGAATAACACCAGTATCTCTTTCCACAGAAAAACAAAATATTGCTGGTCAGGTGAAAGGTGTAGGGGGAAAGGATGCTGCAGCAACAGCAGCTCCAAAAAATGTGACTACTGAAGAGCTGGCATGGAAAGAACAGCCTGTGTATTCCTATCAGCAGATCAGCTGTTTGGACAGTGTCATCAGGTGAGCAGCCAGTGAGTAAATTACTCTTGACCTCTGGACACAGGACTAGTATGTCTAATACTGCTACCTGATTGTATTTTAGGTACTTGGAGAGTTGTAACGTGCCTGGTACAGCAAAAAGAAAATGTGAACCTTCAACAAGTGTTGCATCACTGAGTTCTGGAGTTCATGAACAAAAAGCAGCTGATAATTCTATCCAGCCATTGGGAGGTAACTCTACATCACAGCTTTTTTGTGGCTGAGTTTTGCTGGCAGGCAGTTGGATGCTACTTCTTTGCAGAATAATGACAGGTGTATCTTAGGCATGACCTCATAGCTGCTTTCTCAGTGTTTGATGTTGGTGATTTAACTTTTATCATTAATATCTTCCTTACAATTAAAATACTGAGTAGTTGATTGTATATCCTGATTACAGGTGAAATAAACTAATTTATAGTTTATGTAATATAATTAAAAATACAGTAGGATTTTTGAGGTTCAGGACTTGAATCAATATCAAATATTTCACAGTTAGGACTAATAAGAACAATCAGGTGAAGAATCTAGCAGCTAATTAATTGCAACAAAAATATGCATATTATTTTTCTGCATAGAAAAGAGGAACAAGAGAAGGTAAAATTGGACTGTCCTGTCTTTTGTATGATGTTAGAACCCAATGTTCATCCATGAAAACAAAAAGCTGGGGATTACTGAGGCAAGTTGTCTTAAGTCTCCTGCAGACAGAAGCATTCAGTTAATCTTTTATGCCTTAGATGTTGCATTTGACATAGCCCTTGTCTGGATGGGGAGCTAAATGAAGAATGTAACTGGGTAGTACAAGGATTGTGAGATTGATAAAGAACTCCATGCAAATGAGAGATTTTCTCATTCTACCTTGTCATTATATGATGCTGAAGGGAAGTGTCCAGTGGAGTTTCTCAAAAGTGGTGAGAATGATCTTGGCTATTTGATGAGCTTCAAAAAGAAGTTCTTCTAATGCAGCTTTTAGAATCAAATTAGAAGGTATCAGTAGACCAGGAACAAAGAGTCCTGCAGGAGGGTTGAAATGCTGTAATTTGGAGTCTCTGGTTGTGGTTGGCAGGAGATGATGTGGGTCACCAGCTCTTTGTTGCACTGATATCTGAGACAGATGAAGTCACCAGTCAGGAAAAAGGCAAACTTTAGATCTTAAATATATGTTCTGGAAGTATTCCTATGAAAGCAGGAATGTTTTAATGCTGTGTTGTGAGGCACTGCTCTGACCTCTGCTGGATTACTGTGTGTAGCTTTCAAGGCAGAGACTTTTCAATAGCTGTATGCTCAAAACAAAGCTCTTAGAGTAACCAGCTAATGAAAGAAATCAATGTACAACACTGTGGGAGCTGGGGGCAACTTATTCTTGGGCTGGAGGAGGCTAGAAATGCTAAAATTTTGCCATGAAAAAAGAGTGAAGACCAGAAAAAGAGGAAGATAGCCTTCAGTGAAGAGTTTTGGCTTGGCTGTGCAGAGGGTTGCATTTGTTGCTTCATAGTCATTCTATTCCTGGAATGTATAAAGTAAAAAGTTCACTTTTTTGTCTTGTCAGGCACAGTTTGGCCTTTGCTGTTTTGCAGCCCTGACAGGGTATAACTTGAATTTGGTCTTGTTTATGTTCAGTAAGCTGCAACTTTTATTTCTTTCAACAGATCCTGCTGTGTTGAAGGCATCTGGTAAATCAAGTGGTCCCCCAGTGGTTGGTGCTCACTTAACATCTTTAGCTTTACCTGGCAAGCCAGAAAGTGTTGTGTCTCTCACCAGCCAGTGCAGCTACAGTAGCACCATTGTTCACGTTGGAGACAAAAAAACACAACCTGAATTAGGTAGGATTTTTGCTAATATTTTCTCTTCAAGGTGGCAAGTGCTAGCAAGTTCAAATTTCAGACAGGTGAACAGCTGATGTCTGCTCTTGACTCTACATTTTTCTTGAAGCCGAGATGGTCTTGGGAAATGGAATAAATAGGGATGGAATGTGTAATCTTTAACTTGCAGCAAAATTATTACAGAATTGTAACACCTTAAAAATACATATACAGGGCTTTCTTTGCTTCATCTTGAGTATTTTGCCTTCTGTTCCTGTAGAAATGATAGAAGATGGTCCAAGTGGAGCAGAAATCATAGATGGGCAACTTCTCGCCCCTCCATCCAGCTCTGCGCACATAAATCAGGAGAAGGAGCCATTTAAAAAACTGGGACTTACAAAGGAGGTCCTTGCAGTGCATACACAAAAAGAGGAGCAGAGCTTCTTGAATAAGTTCAAAGAAATCAAGAGATTTAATATCTTTCAATCACACTGCAATTACTACTTACAAGATAAACCAAAAGGACGGCCTGCTGAACGTGGTATGGCACTAGTTTTCACAATAAAATTGTATTTATATAGAAAGTAACTCCTCTTGAGAAGGCATTTCCATTTTTAGTTGTTTGGTGGGGCCAGTGTGAACAGTGACAGTTGCATGCTATTTTCAAATACAGAAAACCCACAGAAAAATTTTCTGACAAATCTTGCTAGAAGATTTAAAGTGGAATATTGCTTTTAGTGTCATAATGGACATTTTAGTAACTAACATTTTGATTTTTGTCTGTTCTCTGTACTATTACTGTCATGCATCTACTTTCAAGGGACAAAAAAAATCTGCTTTAGGAAGTTTGCTTTACTGTATCTGTGCTTGTATGCCCTTGTTTTTGTTTTTCTTCTGTCTTGCCAACTGTCTTTTGTTCAGATTTGTGGTTTTGTCTTGTTTTCAGCTCCTTTGTTTTCTAGTTTTCCCCATTCCACTGTTGTGTAATTGCTGAGACAATCTGATCATTTTCTGGTTGCCTTTAAGGTAATAATGTGATCAGCAGGATGGAAATGGCAGAGACTAGCAGTAATAGGGAGATTGTTTTGTTTATTAGGCCTAGGAGCTCTGGGTGGCATTTTCAGGAGTGCTTGATAAGATTTTTGTTCTCATTTTGGAACACAAGTCAGACACTGCTAAGCATTTTTTCCAGATTTTTATCTTTCTTTTTTTTTTTTTTTTTTTAATTTATTTAACTAGTTATACAGGTCCTGTATAGCTACATTTTTATAACTTTTCTTAAAATTATTCCTTTTGCAGGTGGCCGTGGACAAAGAAATGCCACTTCTGGAGTGGATCAGCCTTGGAAGAAAAGTGGAAAGAACAGGAAATCGAAGCGCATTAAACCACAGGAATCTTCAGACAGCACAACTTCTGGAGCTAAATTCCCCCATCGCTTCCCCCTGCAAGGTTTAAATGCCACAGCCTGGTCACCATCAGAGACTTCCCAAGCCAGCTACTCAGCAGTGTCCTTCCCCACTGTCATGCCTGCATATTCCCTTCCTGTTTTTCCAGCAGCAGGGACCGTGCCTCCGGCTCCTGAAACCTCGCTCTCTGGTTTTAATCACTTGCCAGACTCTGGAAACAGCTGCCCCATGCAGCCATCCCAGTTCTCTGCACCCTTCATGACCCCTGTGGTGGCTCTTGTGCTCCCCAACTACATGTACCCAGAGATGAACAATAACTTACCTCAAACGCTGTACCCCAGCCAGCCCAGCTTCCCTGCCCATCCTGCCTTCTCCTCACAGACAGTGTTCCCCCCACAGCCCCCCTTTGGCACAGCCAGCCCCTTCCCACAGCAGCCCTTTTTCCCAGCCCAGCCATTCCAGTACAACCCCCCAGCAGAGCCTGAAAAGGCTCCCGTGGCAGAGCCACGCAACGACCCCTCCCGTTCCTGCACTCCTCAGTCGCTGGGTCCTCAGGACCAGGCTTCACCACCTCTGTTCCAGTCGAGGTGCAGCTCTCCTCTGAATCTCCTGCAGCTGGAAGAAACCACCAAAACTGCAGAGAGCGGAGCTCCTGCGGGTTTACACGGAGCTCTGGCTGAGGAAGGAGCCATAGGCAAGATCAGGACAGTGGATAACGGCAGTGGGAAGGAATCCTTACCTGTAAGTCTGGATCACACCCCCCTTCTCCTGCCTCTGCTGCATCATTCTCAGTCCTTTCACTTCCAGTTCCAGCACTTCCTCTTTGTTAACCATAGACAGAAGTTATACATCAGGAAGTTTAACATCAGGAGCTCAAAACTGTAGTTGGTAAATTTAAACTTCAGCAAACTGCATAAAACCCGAAGTCCAAACATTAGAGTAGTCTCAGTCTTTAAAAGCTAAATCTGCCTCATCATTCTTCTAAGGTTACACTAGGAGGCTTGGAAATATATCCTGAAAGAGTTTTGCTCCATTTCAATGAAGAAAATAATATGGATAAGCCCATTGAGAACCACTGAAATAAACTGTAAAATAATGTGAGCATTTTATTTGTAGCAAAAGCTTTTGTGCTAGTGAATTTGTGTGCAAGGGAAAAACAATCTGCAAGTTGTCTGAAAGAAGCTGATTTAAATTAAAATCACATCTGTGTTTACAAACAACCAACCAAAGTAAATTAAGAATTCATCATTTCTTGCAGACCATTACTTTATTTTTGTTTTGTTTGTTGCATTGAAACTATGCTGAACTATTTGGTAACTTCAGGGTTGTTTCTTTATTTCCTGGCTCATTTCAATTTGATAAATCAGTCTAACAAATAACTTGAGGGAGAGCAGTATGTCTGTAAAGGTTTCCATGGTAGAAATATCTAAACTATTATTTGTGCTTTCTAAAGGCACCATAGAGTATCATTATAAATGCTGATGGGATGGAACTGCATCCTGTATATTTTTTGGCTGCCTCCTTCCCTTATTCAGGAATTTGTTCAGGGTAAATTCTTTCAATTATTACATATTTTGCTAAGTTCTGTCAGCCTTAATTTCTAATATTTAATCTTGAAACTGATCTGCAGTCAAGTTTTAATTAGGTTGGAAAGAAGTGTAGTTAATGCTCCTTCCTTTAAAACTACACAAATAAGTGATCTTGCCTGGGAAGCACCTGGGAACATTTTCTTACTGCTCTCAATGCCACTCTTCCTTCTCATCTCAAGGAGATGGAGCAGTGAGGGATGTTGATGCAAATCCTTTGAGGTAGATTATAGTAGGAGCAATTCTTCATATGCTGTGAGTGTCTTGGGTAGACTCTGACTTCTACAGGACAGTAGGTGCTGTCAAAAGTGAACAGGAAATACATTTCTTCCTTTCTTATGAAACCATATTATTAATTTTTTGAAGAGAAATTCAACTGGTATTAATGAAGGTTCCCCTGTCAATCCACTTCATTATTCCTTGGCATATGTTACTAGTGACTGCCTTAGAATAATTATGTAAACATTAGAATATGAAATGGATTTATTCCTAATCATTTACATGATTAGTAATAGAGCTGTTACATTTAGTAACAAATGCATTAATAAATGAAGCCAGTCCCATATGTCCTTCACAAATTGATTCCATTGATCCCATCAATTCTCATTGATCCCATCCTGTTTGTTTGTCTCATCTAGTTTTGAATGTAGGAACTTTTTCTGTCTAAGAGAAATGCTGAACTAATTTTGTGAGATGGTCTGGGGTTAGAGTTCATGTTGATGTGTAAGTATAGAGGAGTGCTGACAACTTTGTAGCCTTTTCTTTAAACAGACACTGCAAAACTATGAACTGTTGATTACCTTGAAGCATAATTTCTGAGAATTTATTAATTTAAAGTCAGAAAGCTATTATATTTAGTAATAAACAGCTTTGATTTTTGGTGTTTGGGATTTTTAAATTTTATTCCTTCTTCTTATCACTAGGCTGAATCTCCAATGGATGCTCAAAACAGCGATGAGCTCTCCATGTCCAGTGTCCTGCTTGACATTTTACTGCAGGAGGATGCGTGTTCAGGCACTGGCTCAGCCTCCTCAGGGAGCGGTGTGTCTGCAGCTGCCGAGTCCCTGGGCTCTGGCTCCAATGGCTGTGGCATGTCAGGGAGCAGGACAGGTAACTCAGGCAGCCAGAACCCTCCTGGTGCAAGCACCATGAGCAGCAAATGAAAAACTTTGGTTTTACTTCTCCTTGCATTGTTTATCCTTGATTTCTTTCTTATTGCGTTACACAAATGTTTTTCTGTTGTGCTTGATTTACAGAATAGAGACTTTTCCAAGTGTGTGTAAAACAGGCATTAAGATATTATGCAGGTATAAAGGAATAATATAAAGACCATACTCCTTCACATCCATTTTAAACTTTTAAATTCAAGTGAGCTAATTAGTCTGTTGAAATTTAATGGAGACTTTACTTAAGAATTTGAGTTTTTAAAAGATTAGTGCAGTTACTCAAGGGTGAAAGTTCCCTCTGTTTAAAAAGAGTAGAATAGTGGTTGTATTTATACATTCAGTTCTCTTTAATCTTCTCTACACTCAAAGGCATTCAGGTAATCCAAGTATTGGACAATTTATAATGAAATGTTAAATCTGTTTACAGGTAGCAGTGAAACTAGTCACACCAGCAAATACTTCGGGAGCATTGATTCCTCAGAGAATCACCATAAAACCAAAATGAAGACAGAAATGGAAGAAAGTGAGCACTTCATCAAATATGTGCTCCAGGATCCCATCTGGCTGCTGATGGCTAACACAGATGACACAGTGATGATGACTTACCAGCTCCCCTCACGGTAATTCCAGTGGCACAGCCCTTCACACATTCTGTGTTTAGGGGAAGCACAGTGTACAGGAGGGGAGATGGATAGGAATCTCTGTCTGAGGAGAAATAAACTGGTCAGCTTAGTGTCAAGAAAAATTCTTGCATCCTTTGTTTTGTATACTACCCAAGAACTTCTCAAGAAGGAAGAATGATTTAATTAAGCTTGGCTGTATTTTTAGGTCAATTTCCTGAGTTGAAATGAACTGTGTGTATTTTCTGGGAGCTGTTTCATAGTTAGTGATTTGTAACTACTTGTCCAGAAATCCCTGGTGAATGTGCTTAGATCTAGGCATGGTCTGGCCTGGAAGATCTCCAGTCCTTGCCTGTTATCCTTGAGATGCCACATCCAGTGGAATGCTGCTCTTGGACTTGTGCATTTTCTTCTGAGTTGTTAACTTCCATATGTTCATTATTCTTCATAAATTAGGACAAGGAAGTAGAAAATAAAAATCATAAGGCTTCTAATAAAATAAACTTTTTTAAAACATAAAACACATAAAAACCATAAAAAACTTACTACTTAAGTAGCAGAAAGGAGATACAGGGGAAGAAGAGGTGACAAGTCTGTGGATTCTTTTTTTTAACCTACTTGTTTATATTTCTTGGGAGCACTGAATGGTGTTTTGAGAAGAATAAGAGGTTTCAGTAAAAACAAGCCTTTGAAAGGGAAGGTAAACAAGCTTTCAAAATACAGAAGCAGAGGCATGATGGAGAAGGCAAGAAATACATTGTAAGAATTTAAGCATTTTTTTCTAGTTTTAAAAATACTTTGACATTTCTCAGTTTTTGCTGTCTGAAGTGTTGACAGCCATAGGTGGGAATTCCAGTAGCCCATAAAATCAGCAAAGCCTACCAGAGTATTTTGATGAGAAGAGTGAAGCTCATTGTCAGAGAGTAATGCCCAAGAAGTAAATCCAGCCTGTTCTTAGGTGCCCTGTAAGGAATAGAAATTATTTGGAGTATCTTGCTTTCTGTTGTCGTGTTTTACAAAGGGATACAGCTCGTAAATATTGCTGTGGGATGGGGTTTTGTAAGTTCCTGAATGGAGGTAGGGCATTTGGAGGGAGAGAGAATTTTGGCTGCTGAAATAAAGCTGTTTTTCTAAAGTTTAGTTCAATCTTGGTGACCTTCTTAAACACATCTTACACTGCTGCTTTATCTCGTGTGCGAGGAGTCTCTGCTTTGGGTTGTCCTCCCACTGCAGGGGGCTTGGAACTGCAGCAGCAGCAGAGGGAAACTGGGTTTTGCTGGTTTCACTGGTGGTGCTGCCTGAATGGCTCTAAGAAAACTCTTCTCACTGATGGGATTTGCAAAGACAGTGAGCCAGCAGAGATGTCTACAAATGCAGAGAGCAGCTGGAGTAATCACATTTCATCTTCTTCCAAGACAAGATTTCTAAGCATAACATTCTAGAACAAAAATAGTCTTTAAAAATGTTAGTATTTGACTGTGTAACCTCACATAGGCACGAAGCCCAGAAACTGCTGAAGCTCAATTTCTAAATACATTTTATTTTAGGGATTTGGAAACAGTTTTAAAAGAAGATAAGCAGAAATTAAAGCAAATGCAGAAACTACAGCCAAAATTTACAGAAGAACAAAAAAGAGAGCTTATTGAAGTTCATCCATGGATCCAGCAAGGTGGCCTGCCAAAAACTGTTGCTAATTCTGTAAGTGTAATGAGTTAATTACTTTTGCATGTATAATAGTGCTTAAATTATTAGCTGCCTATGTTAAACTCTTCCTTTCCTGTTGCTATGAAAGCTTGGTCAATTATGCAGAGGAAAAAAAAATAAATTCAAACTTCCATGCAGTGGTTTCTAGCTTGATTCAATTTAGCATAAATCCTCCTTCCAATGGAGGAAATTAAAGTACTGGTGAATACAGTATAAGAAATTTCCTTCCTGTTTCTGAATTTCCATGTCTTTGTTTGAAGTGCTTTAGCAACACAGCAGAAACTTCACTACATCAAAATCTCTAGTTTGTGTGCAGAAATGGATGTCCATTGATTTCAAAGTACAAAATGAATGGCAATATGCTGATCCTTTTTCCTATCAGACTTCTCACTCAGGATCATGATTCTTCTAAGTAGTTTAATGGCTTGAAAGGGAAAAAAACCAAAACCCAACAAAACAAAGCATCCATGCAATTTTATTTGTTGTCTGTGTATTTTACTTATTCACACGCAAATACCTGGTTGCATTTCCTTTTCCCTAAGCTTTCTATCATTTGTGGCTTTTTGGCACAAAAGCTGTCAAACACAGAGGCTCTGTTTGCACATGAGTGTTCCAAAAGTCAGTGTGAAGGAGCTGCAGTGGAATCCAAATTGTGGTGTTAATGTTACTGCAGCCCTGATCCTCTGAGCAGCCAGCTCGTGATCTGTGGCTTTCCAGTAGAGTTCTCAAGTACTTTCATTGATTTTACTGCACTTTATAAAATCCTGGTGTGTGGAAAAGTTTTGGATTAAAATATATCTGGTAGCTACAGCACAGGTGGAAAGGCTCCCTTGGAATCAAGGATTGCATGCAGGTGGACTGATGCCTGGAAAAGCTTTTTTTTAAAAAATTTACTTATGAGTGCTTCTATTCTTTTTTTTTTTTTTTTTTCTTTTTAGGAATGTATTTTTTGTGAGGACAATATACAGAGCAATTTTTATACTTCATATGATGAAGAAATCCATGAAATGGACCTTAATGAAATGATTGAAGATAGTGGAGAAAACAACTTGGTTTCTCTGAATCAAGTCAGTGAAGAACAAACATAGCCTTTGAGCCTGTTGTTTTGAAAATTGCTTCAAAACGACAGTGAAGGATCCATAAAGGTTTTAATCTTTTATCCAGCAGGATGAATGCAGTTCATAAAAGTACATGTGTTTTTCTTGCTCTAGAAGAGTCATTTGTGAATGAATCTCTTTTTAAATGGTGGCAATCTCTTCCCAGTAAGGACATTGTTGAAGATGGTATAACTTTTCTTTAAAAGACTCATTTTGCACTTACATGCCTCAAGTATTTCTTTATAAACTCTAGAAACTTTCATTGATGCCTACTGTTTTTTGTAGAGTGGGTTAAGAAGTGCTGGAAATCTCCTCACATACATACAGTTCTTCAATCTCCTGGTGATGATTCAGCATTATAAATTGTTGAGCAATTTTGCTTAGTGGCTCTTTAGCATTGTTCTTAATATTTGAAGTGGTCCAGCATAGTAGAAGAAATAACCTTCAAGGAAATCAATTCACACTTGCCCTTCTCATACCAGTTGATCCCATCCTCTTTGTTTGTCTCCTCTAGTTCTGAATGTAGGAACTTTTTCTGTCTAAGAGAAATGTTGAGCTGATTTTGTGAGATGGTCTGGGGTTAGAGTTCATGTTGATGTGTAAGTGTAGAGGAGTGCTGACAACTTTGTAGCCTTTTCTTTAAATGGACACTGCAAAACTATGAACTGTTGAATACCTTGAAGCATAATTTCTGAGAATTTACACTCAAGAAATCCTTATGCTTAAAGATTTAAAAAACCTAAGACCACGGAGGATGTCTGGCCATGCCCCAGTTAGGCAAAGCTTGGGGTAACTTTAACCTTCTTTTCTGACTTGTTCTGTCAGGAGGTTGGCCATCAGTTTTTCCAATGTGGCTAAACAAACATCAAATTGTGGCAAGGGAGGATTAGATGTGTCTTGTCATTTGAAGATAGTTCTTCTAAAAAAGAAGTGATTCTGAGAATAGTGTTTACTCACTCTATTCAATTTACATAATCTCAAATTTAGTGTGGCTGGAGTCCTTTGCTGTCAAAGATCTCATTTTAATGCCTCTGATTGTATTGACTTGAATATGTGTACTTTATGTTCTTGTGCTGTTTATGTCTGTTGGATGTGGGAAGAGAACATGAGAGAACAACTTTTAATATGTTGGTTAGTTAAAGGACATTTAGTTGCTGTATTGCTAGATGTCAGCTGTAAGTCCTGGGGTGAAAAATGACGAAAGTTAATTGAATTAACTTTGATATGTTTGTCTTAAAATATTTTTTCTTGGGAAGCATTTCCTTTTTTATTAGGGTAACATTTCTATTCACTGAAAATTAAGGTTATTTTAATTCTATACAAATACTTCTGTTTGTATACAGAGAGGATGTGAATTTACATTGGCACCAAAAACACAAAAAAGTGACTGGTATTTGCTTAGTGGAAGAAATAATTTGTTCCAAGTAATTCATTATTAGTTGGAAAATTTGCACTGGAGACAGGTTCTGCAGGTAGTAAAGTGTGTCAGCTTGTGAAACAAGCAGAATCACGATTTTAAAAAATGAATATCTTAAATGTAGTGTGAAGCACTACCCAGCAAGATCTGATGCCTGTCTTTAACAGTTCAGCAAGGTCAAACGTAAATATTTGTAAATACAAAGTGAATGAGAAATTTTCCAGTGTTGGTGTTCACGTCCGATGTGTTAAATGTTTTAATCATAAATGGAACAGTGCAGCTATACCAACATATGAAATATATTTCATTTTTACATGGAAACACAAACATGGACCAGGGTTTGGGAAAAATAAAAGCTTTATATAAAAGGAGTGCATCATAATTATACAAATAATTTTCAAAGACTTCTCAACCACTTTGAACTTCTCTTTGCTTTAGCATGCTTTTTTTTTCACCCCCCCATGTCTTTTTTTATTTATCCTCATTTCTTTTATTATTTTTTTTTTCAATGACCATCTTGTAACCATAACTTAGTGAAAGGAAGAGAAAAGTATATTTAGAGCATTTTGTGGATGTGCTTACTTATGGACTTAATCTTGCATCCTTAAAGTGTTTGCATTTACAGGGTGGTATTAAAATATTTTCCTGTAACTTTAAATCTACATGCCTCCATTTATAGATAAGATTCTGAAGCTGTAATTTTTCCAAACTGTTGTAAGATGATTTATTTGTGATGACACTTTGTCAATATGTCAACAATGTTTTCTGTACACTGTGCAATATATTTTGGTTTTGCCACTTGTGACTAATTTTTATGACTTTGCTTTTTAGAAAACTGGTAAATAAAACAGATATATTTTTAGTTGCCTTTTTGTTCCTTGAGGCTTCTACTCCAAGTAAGAAGTCAGAACATGTGCTTTACTGATGCTGTGTGAACTGGTATTTCAAACTCTGGCTTCCTGTCCTGGAGTCAAATTGCTGCCAGCTTTTCTGACCTCTAAGTTTAGTGGTCACATGGAAGATTAAATCTTTATATTGAGGAGTTGTTCTGAAATCTTGTGCACATTTCCTGGAAGAGCACGTGCAGCGGGCTCTGTGTTGTTCTGATCTGCCAGAGGACACCTTCCTTGTGCTTCCTGCTTTATTCCATGTGAGCTTTTGCAGGGGTGGCTTAGGGACAGAGAATTCAGTTATGCCCTTTGGATTTATTCTGTATTTTCAGAGTTTCAGTGATTTTAAGTTTTCTGTCGAGGTATGAGGTGTTGTCTTTGAAGATTGCTGAAACTTTCCAAGCTGGAATGCTTCCCTGTTCATGTTTAATTATCTGGTGAGTGGAGCAGTGCTGAGCTCAGGGCTTGGACTCCTGTTCAGAAGGGACTCAGTTTACGAGACCTTCATTATCTCTTTATTTCCATGGCTGTGTTTTGAGAGGTTTGTGGGAATTTTTAAATAGAGCAAGCTAGTACAAGCCCTGCTTTGGTCATAAAGGACCCAGAAACTTCTGTGAGCTGCACAGTCGGGGTGTTTGGGTACCACAGCTCAGCACACGGGTGAGCTGCCTTCACACCAAGGGCAGAATGTCGTGCACTTCACTGGCTGCATTTTAAAATTGCATTTATTGTTGAACATCATCCAAGCCCCTTTGCAGTCCTCTGAATTAACCCTAAATTGGTGGGCAGGTCTGTGTCTGTCTGCAAACACTTCTGTCCTCACAGCACCGGCTCCTGGCTCAGCTGAACACGCAGAGGAGAGATGTGTGGTGGAGCTTTGGCAGATCTCCAAACCTGAGTGTCACCCCCCTGTGCCACTCCACAGGTGCTGGCATTTGGATTCCAGTGCTGATAACAAGAGCCTTGGGTGCTGCTGCTGGGATAAACTACCTGGTGGTGTTTCACTCTTATATTTCTGCTTTTGGTAATTTCTTTTTGTTCAGCTGTGAAAGTAATCAGAATAAGAGTTAAACGTGACTTCAGGCATTCATGAACTCCTCCTTGGAGAGGTATCTTCTGTCAGCACGCAGAGCCAGGAGCTTGCAGAGCTGTTGGGAGGAGCCTTTGTCCGAGTTTTCCCCACCTCAGCAGCCCCTAGATGTCACTGGTGTCCTGGGATTATCTTTGGCAGCATTTCCATCACTGTTTGTCTTTCTTCAGCTTCTTGTGTATTAGGGCTGGTGAGTTTGCCATGACATTATTTGATGGGAAGTGAAAGCTCTGTGGCTTGAATTTCAAATAAGATGATGGGAAAATTCATACTGAGGAGCTGTTGGCCCAACAATAGTGAATGCAAACATAAGCTCTGCTTGGAAAAGGGAAACAGACTGCTGAAAGCATCAGGTTTTAGTCCACTTAACAGCTGTCATGAATTTAGAGGTGAAAAAATATGCTGTTCTTACTGAGAATCAAGATCCTTAATGGTTATTTTGTCTCTAAGAAGAGTGGAAAGAACCCAAGGCATTGATAAACCTCTGACCTAAAAAAACAATGTGGTAAAATGAGTTGCACGTTTCTGGCAAAGTAACAAGGAGATGACTTGAAGGAGGATAAGGTTTGTAGGTGTAACTTCTGGAAATTCCACTGTTGAATTGATCACAAGGAGCTTAAGAAATTTTCCCGGTGTATTGAACAAGGTAATGAACAGCTCAGAAACTGCTTTTCCTCAGGGGCTGTGGAAGAGGACCTTGTTTCCAGGGGCAGGACACAAGGTGTCTTACAGCTTTGTCTCTGCTTCACTGAAACAACTTAAAATGCCAAACAAACAAAAAACTAAACCCAAACTTCTCCAGGCTTTCCAAGTGGAAAAGCAACATAAGACTGGGTAGAAACTGAGGCAACTGAACTCTGAAATCCCAGATATTTCTCTGGGTATCTGCTGATAAATCACGAGCTCCACCAGCTGTGTGTGTGCTGGGATTTCACTGACTCTCACAGACAGAGAAGTCATGAACAGTGTTTAACCTCAGTGGATAATACAGAGTATGAAAACACTTACCACTCAGTGAGAAAATGCTTTTTAGCTGAAGGACACGACGTGAAAGAGGCCCCTCCTGAGGCAGGTGGCATTGCTGAGGGATGTGCAGGGTGGGGACAATGCTGTCTGTGTAGTGCAGGAAGGGAAAATGAGCATCTGCTGGAGCTGGGGTGAAAGGTTTGGTGAGGCAGCCACTACACCCTCAGCCCTAGAGGGATGTACTGCTTTGCACTTCATTTGTTTTCATCTTTTGGAGACAAATAAGAGTGAATGCAAATTTCCTGGTATTCCAGGATTTGTCAAGGGGAACTTCTCATTCCTCAGTCTGCAGTAGAACAGGATATAGTGAATTTACTACTCTCTTTAAATTGTTAGAGTGGTCTAAAAGTAAACTGCTTGTGTTGCTGTTGCACTGCCTGCTTCAGAAATTCTAATTCTGTCCAAGAATTTATTTGCTATGCTTTTCCTTTTTAAAAAACCTGACCATTGCTTGTCTAAGGTAAGGTCTACTGCTTTCCCTTCTGTTGTCACCAGCTGCCTCCCTCAGAAATCTGCAGCTTTTTGCACAGGGTGCTGGCTAAATTCAGCAAATGTACTTTTCTAATTGGCTGTAATCTTTAATTAGCTCAGCTCCAGGAAGCAGAAGCAGGGTTGGGTGTGTGAGCTGTGCCTGCCCTGCTCTGGTTTGGAGAGCCCTGGGGCTGGAGCAGCTCCTTTTGGAGGAGCCTGCTGGGCTCAGCTCCTCCAGGTCCCAGGTGAGTGCAGGGGTGGTACACGGAATTTGCACCAATGATTTAACCTGGGCCATCTGTCCCTTCTGTTTGCTGCCACTTCTGTTCCTCCCCAGCGTTTTAAGTGTTTGTAGTTTTGTCGGGAGTGGATAAAGATGGAGGTTGACACATGAAATAGGCTCAGGATTTGCTTTGTTCTTGTGTTAATAAACTTCTCTCACCTCCTTTTAACTTCAGCCTCGGTTTTGAACACTGGCAGATCTCTCCTCACGTATTTTGGAGAATTATTCTTTCATGGCTCAGTTGCGTTTCTGAATTTGGTAAAAACCAGGGGTTTCTGATGAAAATGGTTAATTAAATTGCAGAGTAACAACTCTGTGCTGAGCAGTACCTGCAATGCAGAGGTACTGTCTTTTACAGCCCTAAAATACTAGTTTGTTTCTGCAGCAATACAGGATGGTAGGAAATAAAATCATGTTATTTTTCTCTTGCAGTGAGAGAACACATGTAATTTCCTATACCAACCAGTGTATTTCAGTATCAAATGGTGTGGAAGCGAACCATTTTGTATTTTCCATTGTTCAGTGCAATAGCTATTTTCTAGTGTAGTTTCTCTTCCTGTTTAGGCTAAATGAGGTTTCAATTTACTTAAAAAAAAAAATCTCCAGGAAATAATGGAATTGGAAAAAAAAAAACCCCAGTCTGCCTCAGGGCATGGAAAACCCAGGAATGACCTGGGATGGCTGCAGGAGGAGCTTTGGAGTGCTGGGCTCAGTAACAAACCCAGGGCCTGGGGCCAAGCAATTCTGTATTGCAATTTGTGCAATAAATGCATGTGCATGAAGCATATGGCGTGCCACAAAGCGGGCAGCAGCGACAATGGCAGGAATGTGGCCATCGGGAGTTATTTCCAGGCTCTATATGCAGTTGTCTTTAGAAGCCTCCTCCTTTTTTGTGTTGTGCAGAGCTGCTGCCCGCCTGTGAATAGGGGAGATTCTGTCCCAGCTGCTCGGAGCAGGGCTGGGAGGGGAGGGGAGCTGGGCAGAACCTTCTGTTCACATCTCATTCCTGGGGAGATGCCTCTTCCTAAACCCCACATCCCTGAGGACAGCAAAACTTCTGCTCCCTCCTGCTTGCCGTGAAGTTCTTTTTCCTCCCTCCCTTTTAGAGACAAAGCCAAGTAGAAATATATTTATTTTAGAATTGAGCTGAATTTTTTTAACTGCCAAAGCTACGTGGCAATACCGAATGATTCCCACATTGTGCAAAGAACTGGGAAATTCTTCCATTGTCCTAAGCTTCCACTGTCTTTTAGTATGCAAAAATATGGGTACTAAACTCTTCAGTAAAGGCTTCTGAAGCTTTGGATGTAGTCAGGCAGTGAATTTCGTATTATTTTAGTAATAATTACTTTGCATTACATGAGCAGTGAATTTAAATGAGTTCAGCTATAAAGACCTGATTAGGAACACACATATGAACAACATTGTTTTATTAGTTCTGCCAGCCCCCTAAAATACCTGCTCTGTATGTGCTCTACCATTATGAGGTGATGCTTAAGTCTTAAATTTTAATTGAATTTTCAGGGATTTCTGGCTTGGATTTTTAAGGAAAATCTGTTTGTTTATTTGGCCCTTTTTTGTTGTTTGTTTCTTTTTTTTTTCTTTTTTGTCTTGGCTATCAGGTGGGATAGAGGTATCTGTATCTCAATCTGAGAAAATCATTTATAGCCTCACATCGATTTTGTGGCAGAATGATATAAATTGAACAGACTGCATACTGGAAATGGTTTTACAGGTTTCACTGACTGACAGAATTAGTTTGATGAAGTGATATATGACTGCCTTTACCACCTCATTTAGTGTTCACAGGCCTGTGAAGTTTATGGTGTTACTTTTCACTCATTACAGAGAGGAGCTGAGAGAAATCTGTATTATTTGTAGTGTTCCCAGGAGTGTGAGTGCAGGAGCCTTCCCCAAACTCTGCAGCCTTTATACACACACACGAAGGTGACTTGAAGCTGGTTGCCAAAACTTAGGGTGATTAAATTGCTGTAATTAAATGTATCCCCAGCCTCCCAAGCGTTGTTTCTGTGCTGCTAAGGCTGCTAGATAAGGCTGGGGTTGAGCTGTGACACCTGGGCTATATATAGAAGGTGACAGCT